GAGCTTCTGGTGAATTTTCTCTATAGCGCACCCGCATTGACAACCAAAGTTTACTTTCGAATTTTGAACTGAAACTTTGCCTATACAAAGGCCTCAGCTAGACTAGCTTGCATAAAAAATTTCAGAAGTTTTGAAAAAAAATGCATACTATACATATTATTTATGGAAAAAGGACTGTAGCTTGATAGTTTCATATTTTAGAGAGACTTTATTCAAAATTTCTGAAATTTTCTAAGAAAGATAGTCTAGCTGAGGCCTTTATGCAGGCAAAGTTTCAGGTCAAAATTCGAAAATAAAGTTTGGCTGTTAATGTGGGTGTACTATAGAGAAAATTCACGAGAAGCTCGATATCTCCTCCGAAACAAACCAGAAACCCGAACTTTTTTACCATAGATATAGCTCACTATGGGCTACAGAATGCGCGGAACCCCAGCTGAAAAGCTTTTCTTAACCTGGGAATGTTTCCTTGTTTGTAAATTTTTATTTTCGTAGCATTTAAAATTTTTTTTCCTTATCGTTCTGCTCAATGCTCACAACACCCCTATCCAGAATGATTGTTTTTATTCTGATTTTCTTGAAAATGGAAAAAACGATAAATATATTTACTTCTTAGATGTATAGGTATATCATAGTTTATAAATGATTTAATGTTTTTAAATCTTCTGTTAGATACAAAATATTATGTTTTTCTAGATGATATCGTGGAACAAATTTGCTCATCGATAAACCAAAACCCATCTCAATTCGTTTTAAAAATTCGAGCCGTTTTTCGCCAGGTAAAACAGTAATTCCATTTAGTCTATGAAGACTTCGAAAAATCACTGTTTCTTCCAGCATTAATTCATCCTTTTTTTCATCACTTATACTTTTCAATTGTTCAATTGTACATAATTCATACCAAATTGTAAGACGTCGTTTTGATTCTTTTGGATAAATAACTCGATGAATACCTGGTTTAAGTCGATTCTCTGTTATTCGAGACGCTGCTTCTCCTAACCAAATAACTCCTATATTTGATTCTAATGGTCCATCTATCCATTCATTAGTTATCATATTTTTCAATTGAAGTCCTTCATATGTTGATAAAATACTAATTGATAATAAACCTGGATCATAATGTGGAACACAATTAACTTCTTCAGTAGATTGTCCATTTTCGGGTGGTTGAAAACCGAATTTCTCATTGAAATATGATACAATATCAAGCATTCCAAAATGTTGTTCTTCTAATGGAAGATTTGCTTGTTCAATCAGATTTGATAAAGATGGTTTGTTTTGAAATACACAATGTTGATCAAGAACTTCAATTAAACGTTTTGTAGCAGCATCTAATACTTGTGAGAGATAATTTAATGGTTGAATCAGTGACATTGGTACTAAACTAATATATGCAAAATCAATAAAATAATTTCCAGTTAATAATTTAATTCCTTCTCTATGATTGATTTTCGAATATCCATATATGGGTGCAGATTGTGAATACTTATCCTTATCGTCATCAAATGAAAAAAAATCCGATATGTCTTTTACTAGTTCCTTGTCTAGAATAAGTTCAGTTGTTAATAAAACAAAACACCAGCCATTTGTTTCAAATTCATTTTGTATTCGTTTTATTTCATTTGAGTCATTAAGATTTAAAATTTTATTTAAATCGATAAGAACTTGTACTTCCCTGTTTGATGAAGCCATTTTTGTTTAAATAACTATATTGTAGTTATTGCGCAGTGAATTCGCTTTATTTACATCACACCAGTTATTACACAACGTTTTTTCCATGTGGTGTAACTATTTGTAAAAGTTTATTTGTTAATTAATAAATGACTCATTTGCAATAATCACCTTACATGTCAGATGTGTAATGATTGAATTAGTAGTTTATCAGAAAAATTTGTTTCATATCACATCACACAACTATACGATTGTTGCAACTGGTCGGATCATTTCTGGAATGGCATCGACCTAAATCAAGCACTAGGGGTCGGTATGAGTCGTTGTAAGATTTATGTTTTCTGTTTGCATGAATCATAGCGTTTGCTGGATTCAATGCTGTAAGCATTAGTTTAAAAATCTGCTTTATATTACATTCGGATTAAAATATCGTCATTTTTTTCTGAATAAATTGGGTCGAATTTCCTAGACTGACAGCGTGGAATATAGAAACTAAAAATCATGTGTACCCCTCTCTAAATGACCGTTTTTTGTGAAACGAATGATAGTTTTCATACTAGCTTATAGCATAATTATTACATCAGTGAGCCTTTATTTTGAACATGTGAGGTGTAACATTCGTAGCATAAACCTCTATACTAATGCTGCAAGTCGACCCTATTAATGTTGTGAAGTAGTTACAAGTGAATTCAGTATAGGACAGAGCGAATCAACTCTTCCTTAATGCCATTTGTTGAATTTAGTGTGAAATATCATCATCATGTAGATTTTTTATTATAAATATGGAAAATATTAATAGGAATTTGTTATTGTTAGATCAATGCATATAAGAAAATAATTGTTTGTTTATGCATAAACTATCGAATGATTGTATTTGAAAATAAGGCAATTTAATAAAACATTTTCTAATGTATTTATAAGTATGTCTTGCGAAAGAGTGGTACTTATAGAAACAGAAACAAAAGAATGAAACATTTACAGTTGTTATTCATTCTTAATAACCAGCTTTTGTCTTGAATATAAACACAAGAAAAGAAAGTGTATGTTAATCAATATAAAGATAAAATTTTGGCTGAAGTCAAAGATCATCTTCATTAAAGCATATTTCGTTATGAAAATTTTATTTTGACAAAGTATTAAAAATTAATTTATATATGTAATCAAAATCGATGAATTGTAGAGCATCATCTTACACAATAAGTTCTATAAAAATCGTATTCCTTACATAGCACAATCAACATTGATCTTATATGAATGCTTGATTACAATTCGTACGACATAGATTTTCGATTAGAAACGTAGGTTATACATTTTGGCTAGCTTTCATTTCAAACAGTAATAATATTGAGACTATCAAGAAAGATTAACAGGTTTATTCTCTCACTATCTTCTATATATATAAAGAAGAAAGTTTGTCTGTTTGTTCTGTATGCATTTGGACACAGTACGAGCAAGTGCAATCAAAGCTTCCAGAAATCATTATCTCATCCAGGAGCAGATTAATGACTACTTTTTGGCCAAAAAAAGTCGATCCTCCACTCACAAAAAGCCCACTTTTATTCTAACCAATCAGATTACAGCATTTGGTGTTATCGAAGAACTACTAAGCTGTATGTTCTGAACACTCACAAGACTTGCATCTAGGTTGCTGAACTCGAATCTGAAGTCCATTTGCCTCGAAGTTTGATTGGTTATCCAGAAACCAATAGCAATTCAGCAGTAAGAAAATAGACCAAAGTACCTATACTTTCGCGGAAACGATGAAGTAGGGACATGGGAAAGAAAGCGCCATGTAGAAAACCCATCTTCGACTGGCAAGATTTGAACAATCAGTGACCGCCTCCAAATAGTTATATTTTCTCCATTAGCTATTTATTGTCCTGGATTGCATGTACCTTCTAAAACTTTCTATGCACTCAACTCAGTCATATGATGTCATACTATGATGTCTCGAGCGTACAATATCGTGGATTTTCCTGAGCAACATCCGGTACTTACGTTAGTTAATATAAATTTGTTAAAAAAACGAAGGTAGAAAAAGTTGTACGCTTCCGCTCATCATCTTTCTCCAAAATAAAAATCATATATTTTTAAGGTCTCCGTCCCGAAAATCCAATCTCAAACAAAGAATGAGCGGATTTCATCAAAATCTCAGGACATGCTGAGCCTAGAAGGACGACTTTTTTTCTGTTAAATAAAATTTTCAATCTTTCATCTTGATCTATTCAGGAAATACAAATCATAAAAGCATGAATAAGTATCTTGTTCTGTTTCCGGAACTTTTCCACAATCATTCATTTAATCTTCTTGGTTAGTTTTCTGTTTTGAAAGAATATGCCAGAAGATAGTGCTTCTTAGGATCCTTTATTTATCTTATATTTTGACAAGAAACAAGACTTTTCCAATACAAAAGAAAGCAAAGGTTGTTTTAAAATATGATACCATATATACACGACATTTCAACATGCTCTTTCAAGGAAAAAGATATATAAGACTTTAGATCGTACAGTAGTTGACTTTGGCTGAAGGTGCACTCCGGCAACATAATTTTCAGAAAGACAAAAGCGAAAAGGATATCTTTCACTGCCTAATGGGTGAGAAACATCATTTACTGTATGAATATTGTTGCTATCATAAATAATATTATTTTTGCTCCTTTTTGCTTGGAAAATTCTCGATCAGAAGGCTTACTAAAACCATACAAAAATATTCGAGTTAACTTTATGGAATATTCTGTTTTCCTTTGTTCGAAAAGCTAAATGCATGCATAGGGCAGTTTACTAGAACAGTATCCATCATGTCGTTATAATACACGTTTTCTTTTCATAAAATCCGTTTCCTTGAATCATAAAACTTCAAAAAATCACCATATTTATAATCACTCGATTTTCTTATCATTTTTCTGATTCAATCGATGGTGAAATTATGATACAAAATGTCTACTTATGAGCAACTTTTCAAATTCTGTGAAATTATATATTGGGTCTTATTCAGTTACTCGATATTCCTAAATTTCATGCATAATAGTATTCGACTTAGGTCGTTACCTATGCCGTAAACTGCTTTGTATTTCATAGGACAATCGGGAATAAGCTGTGGCCTTAACTTAGTTTTTTTATAGAAGACTTGAGGAAGCTTTCTTTCTATGTTCAACTAATATCGTCATACTAAAATTTTCATAAAAAGCGTCTTTAATGAAAACTATTTGGAATGATTCAAACCATCATGCTTGTGGCACTTTTGAATTCGATTTATTACAATGTATCAAAGGTAATGCGAAAAATTCCATAGTTATATTGATCTAATTGCTATCTGATAGTTTTGAAGGAAAAAAATTCTCTTATTATGACATTGGTTGTGTATATTTTTGCCTATTATAGTCGTTTCTCGAATGATAATGTTTGTTCTAGTTTCATTTAAAATGAACACAACAAGAAACATATAATAATTTATAATTTATCGAGTTTCTTGAAATCTTTTATTGGATATGAAATATTATGTTTTCGTAGACAATAAACTGGTGAACCTGCTTTACTCGCAGCTAAAGCGAAAGCTATTTCAATTCGTCTTAAGAAATCGTGCCGTTTCACACCAGGTGAAACAGTTACTGGATTTGATCCAGGAAGACTTTCAAAAGTCATCGTTCCTTCTGCCCAGTCAAGCAAAAAAATCAGAAAACGCGTTTAAACACTATAAAAATCATGAACGTTTTCGGATGCTAATCGCGATTCCCGTTTGTGACCCGGAAACGTTCAAAAAGAACCAACATGAAAACGGCGAAATATTTACCAGCGTTTAATATTATGCACGAAAAACGCCTACTTCTT